ATTATAAATCTCAGTAAAGATTTTACAGCTGTCTAAAAGTAGTGGTCCAAATTCCTCCAATAATTTTCAAAATATCATCCTGAGCCTCTTACCAATTAAAAGAATTTCTTTGAACCATGTAACAGTCTGGAAGTTTCATTCTCATCAGTTTAAGTGATTGGCACACTAGCAATTCTATTTGTCCACATGTGGCTATAAGATCTCAGAATGGCTAATCAATATATAATGTAGTCAGAGTTCTGTTGAAAACATGAGAGCTATTTCTGAATGGTAGCAATATATTGTGAATGAATGCAGCACATATGGCCTTAAGGGCTATTTGTTATTCAGAGTCAAACTAAACCATGAACCACTTCAACTTTATTTTATCTTTACAAAGCAACTGTACTTACTTCATTCAAGCCAAGAATCTCAAGAGTTCCCAGGGTAAGCAGCACTTGTCACTATGACTTAAGACTGTGAAATATATCATATGCAGGTGGTTTTATTGACAATGAGCATTTCTGAATTTAGTATTGGAAGTAGGTTTTTCTGAAAAGTACCATTCTGAGTAACTCAGCACTCCAACCAATGCCACTAAACTGCAAATCTGTTTCTTCTAGGTCCGCATTTTTCAAACTGTGGGTCCCGACTTAGAGGGGGTTTGCGATCAACTTGGGAGGGGGGGGTCGCGGTATCACAAAGTTTGAGAACCCCTGTTCTAGGCACATGTGAAAATGGTCTCAATTCTTCTCTCAGATACCCTTATTTACCTTTCTGTAACTGAGTACATCAGTATATGTCTACACTAGCCCCCTAGTTCAAACTAGGGAGGCTAATATAGGCATTCGAACTTGCAAATGAAGGATTTAAATATCCCGGGCTTTATTTGCATGTTCCCGTCTGGTCGCCATTTTACACGGGGCAGTTAAACTGTAATTTGAACTAAGCCTTTAGTTTGAATTACCTGTTGCTCCTCCTGGAATGATGTGTAATTCGAACTAAGGACTTAGTTCGAATTACCATTTAACTACCACGGGCAGTTAGTCCAGACTAGTGGCATTTAAAAATGGCAACTGGACGGGAACATGCAAATGAAGGCCCGGATATTTAAATCCTGGGCTTCATTTGCAAGTTCAAATGCCTACATTAGCCTCCCTTGTTCGAACTAGGGGGCTAGTGTAGACATACCCTAAGCGAGCAGATTTTGGACATGCACTTTCTTTCACAACTGTTCCATCAATTATGTGTTCCTCAAGTCTGATTTCTGCTTACATGCGAGAATTATTCAGTAATGGCCACCTCCAGCACAAAAACCTAAATTGCACTTTCATTAGTCAATAGAAAGACTCTCATTGATATTAATGGAAGTCAGATCTAATTTTCCTTAATTTTTAAAAAGGAAGAATATTTCATACTTCATCCAAGGTGACATGTTTATCTGCTGAGCTGTCAAACTGTGGCTTTCCCTTAAATATTTAATAAAACAGCAGAATAACTCTAACAGGAATCAACAAGAGAATTTTACCAGTGATTTAAAGGAAAACAAGTCAGTGTGGTACATTAACCATGTTCCTAAGGATAAAGGGTCAGTTACCCAAACCTTGTATTGGCTTCAGTAAGCATTGGATTTGACCCCAGGATGAAGAATGCAATATAGACTATTATTAAAACTAGGCCCCTTAATGGAAATCTCAGAAAATTTTTCATATCACCTAAAGAAAACCATTGGTTGCTTAATATACATGAGGTTCACTAAATTAAGAGATTGCCACAATTTCAACAGAAGCACCTTACACCTTTGTTTAGTTTGTCAAAGGAAAACAAGTTCTGAATAAAATTGGGTTCTCTGCTGAACACAAATCTTTTTAATAATAACCTACTCGTTGGCTTGTTTATCTTTATCCATCTAGAATTCTAAACTTCTAGATAAAGTAATATATAATAAATTAATGAATATATAAAATCTCTATATAATGAAGCCTGCCTCAGACCCATCTAAAAGCCAATAAAAATATTAAATACTTGTCTAGTATAGGCTGGTCTTTAATAAGATGTTAAATAAAATTCCTTAAGAAACCTTAGATAAACGAGTTCCCACCTAAGACTGGGGTAATTACCTGATATTTCAGTGTACACACAGGAACCTATGCTGAAGATATTAGCTTGAATGATTTAATAATTAACAAAATATTCTGTAACATAAAGGGGGTACCTTTGAAGTACCCTGCATATTTATTAACCATGGAAACAAAACACTCTTATTGAGTAACTCTCCTCCCCTCCCACTGAAATGGTAAAATTTCAACTACCCCTACATTATAATTTGCACCTTTCTTCCTAGGACATCAAAACATTTTACAATTGTGGGTATTATTCCTATTTTGCAGATAGGGAAGCTGAGGGAAGAAAGCTTTTATTTTTAAAGTCAGTCATACTACAACTGCACAGGTAACTGGACAAATAGACAATACTATTTATGTAAAAAAAGAAGTATTGGCTTTTCCTGCTCCTTATGGAATTCACATGCACCTAAATTCAAAACTCAGGTCCTAAGTGATTTTCTCAAGGGCACCCAGCAAATCAGTGGCAGATTCAAGAACAGACCACAAGCCTTACAACAGGGTGCTTGTATTATATAATACTCATTTAATGTTTAAAATTATAAAGTTTGGAATGTTCAGCCAACAGGTGTTCTTTTAGGCTCAACACTAACTCATACTATGTGAAAGGCAAAAAGAGAACTTATGGAAGTAAATAAATTAAGCCTTTGAAAAAATTCCATAAGTAGATGGAACTACATTGTTTTAGAAGCATGATGTGAAACCAGACACAAAGGTCAAAAATATATTGTTACCTCTATACCCACTTAATTTTGTAAAGTTTTTTTTTAAATGTTTATTTTTCCAATACTAGTATTGGCTGTAATGTAAAAAGTAAGCATCCTGCTTGTACAATGAAAGCAGTGCAAACAACTTCGTTTTCCAGCTCTCCTGTGCTAACACAACTACCGTTAAATATCCTATTTCTCACATTTTTTCAAAGGATTAAATAAAAAGTTTTACAAAGCCTAAATTTGGGGCCTACCGAGATCTGACAGCATCTGTCAAGTCTATTTTAGGCCAGGTTAAAACATATTATGTCCTGTAAATGGTCAGCTGCTTCTTCAAATCTACCACCTAAATTTGACATGATTTATACGTATGTATTTTTAATCTCCGTAAGTGATGTCAGATTCCCTACCTCCAAGTTATTAACGGAGAATGCTTTTCTACTCAACATTACCATTTCTATAGGGAAAGTAAACACTATGTCCCCAAAAATTATGTTCCTCCATATTATGAATGTGGTAAGTTGGTAAATAGCACCTGTAATGTGAAAGGACCCACTGAGTAAATGTACAAGACACGAATTCAACAGCAGTGGGGAGTGTATGAGATCTAACGTTAATCCGAATTTTCCAAACAAATAGTGAGCTAAGAAAATAAGATGTTAAAATGTTAAGATATGACTTCATGTGATCATCAAAACTGTGTTTTTCCTCATATCATTCACTCTGATTCCAAAGTTGCCTCAAAATTTAAAAAAACCATGATACTACACTTCAGATTTATAGATCTTTACACTTGTCCCATCAGACTTAACCACAAACAAGGATACTGATAAGGTATGAATGTCTCTTACACTGAACATGCTATTAGGATGCCAGATAGGAAAGTACTCATGTCAAAACATGAATTTTTTTTTTCCAGAAAGTGTGTCTGCGCTCAAATTCACATAAAACCCCAGCATTTTTACAACCATATTTAAATTTAATTATTGTACACAGGTTAACAAAAAAAGTATCACAAGTAAAACTAAACATTGAATTTAACAAAAACAATAGTGATACAATGGATGTTCAATTTTTCAGGAAATAATATTACAAATGACCATCTGTCAGAGTTTAACCTCACTAGGGACACAAAGTCTGTTAAAAATGTAGCTGTTGTCTACTGAGCCACTTATCTTAGCACTACAGTATATTTCAAGTCAGAGTCCTACGGTCAAGGTATAAAAAAAATCATTTAAGTTTCAAGTCCCCAGAGTGTGTTAGTTACAACAACTGTATTTCTTTGAAAGAAAAAACAAAAAAGACCCCAAAACAGATTCATTAAAAGGCTGCTGTATATAGTTTTTCCTTCTCAATATACTCAGTTCAAATTACTGTTAATATCATTGATAATATGGTCTATATCTGGTTTGATCAGGGTGGTGTGGTCCAGGAAGTGGGGCTTGAGAAGGTGGACCTTGCATTCTTGGGGGTGGAGGAGGCCCTCTTGGAGCTGGCCATATCCCCGGACTCATTCCCCCAGGCTGTGTAAAAGGAGGGCTGAGAGTTCCTTGATCTTCACTGAACTGCGGCAAAGAGTTAGGATTATAGTGATGGGGAGGGGGTGCGTTTACATTTACAGGTGGGCCACCATGTTGAGGCGGGGGAGGTCCTGGAGGAGGATGATTCATATATGGTGGCATTTGGGCAATTATGTGTCCAGGGGGAGGGGTTATTGGTGGTGGAGCAGAGGTCATCGGTGGTGGTGGAGCTTGGCTATAAACCATATGAGGAGTACCTGCTGCCTGGGGAGGATGTTGCATTGGATGGCTTATTGGAGGTGGTGGTGGCGGGGGTGGTGCATAATGTTGCTGTGGAGGCATAATATGATGAGGATGGGTTACCACTGGTTGACCCTGATATTCAGGATGATGATGAGCAGGTGCTGGGGCTGGTGGAGGTGGTTCTCGAGCACCTGAATTTGAATCATCCTGAATAGGGACAGTTATTAAATTGCTGTGTTTTCTTGTGGAAATACGAAACGTATCCTGACTGACCGGGCGAGGTGGTGGTGGAGCCATTGACATCTCTGCTGGGGGTGCACGAATGTCTTCATGTGGTTGATTATAATGCTCGTGTTGCACATGCTGTAAAGGTGGTGGAGGCATCATGAGGTGCTGCTTTGGTGGAATATGGCTCATATGATGCTTATCAGGTGGCAGGATGAACAGGTTCAAGTGGAGGACGAGTAACAGGTTTTCCAGCTCTCATATGTCGATGGTTGATGTGAGCCTGTAAGTCTCTCTGAGACAAATATGTTCTCTTGCACCCTTGAACAATACTACACATGAAGAGAGACCCTCGCACACATTGCTCAATTCGCTGCACAGGATCGTTACAGCTAAATTAAAAAAAACAAAAAAAACATTGGTTTATCATCATCACTGACAGCTCTGAATTTAGAAACGTTTACATTGAAGTCAATGATCGTTCCATGAGTCTACAGATCAGAAAAGACATTTGTTAGTGCCAATGCAACTAAAAGGCTTTTTTCTTTAATTCAAATTAAGTTCTATTTCAAAATTAGACATTCTCCTGCAGAAACAAAGTTAAAGTACTTCAACATTTCCTGAGGTGAAGTTTAAAACAGACCTGCCATAATCTGTACAATGTCTCAAAATTCACAAAAGAAAAGGGGCTTTGAGATTAAGGTACACAATTATTAAAGGAGCCTCAATTATTAGTGCGCTGTCATTCGCTCTTTTGCAGGTAATAATGGGAATAATGAACAAAAATATGTTAACCACTTATTTAAAATACCATCTAAACATCAACAGTAAAATTAAAACTCTCGATATCAGGGATACTATGTAGTGCCAAACTAAAACCCATCTGGTGTAGCAAAAACATTCTTTGATGTTCTTTGCTGCTTCTTTCTACTGAACTGTTTTTTTCCACCAAAGATTATATACGTTGATCAAGATGCATGTAGGGCTAAGCAATTTAAATTATTCTCCCTTTTTAATAAATCTGTAGTGAACTTACCCTGGACACATCTTGTCACCCTTCTTCTCATGTAATATAGCACAGTCATAGCAGAACACATGCTTGCAAGGTATCTGGAGAGACACAAACAATCGCTTCATTAAATCACTGTGTGTAAGCCAGTAGGACACTAAGCTAGGGGGAGAGGTAGATACGCTTAAGGGCAGAGATAGGGTCCAGAATGACTTAGACAAATTGGAGGATTGGGCCACTAGAAATCTCATGAGATTCAACAAAGACAAGTGTAGAGTCCTGCACTTGGGACGGAAGAATCCCAAGCATAGTTACAGGCTGGGGACCAACCAGTTAAGTAGTAGTTCTGCAGAAAAGGACCTGGGGGTTACAGTGGATGAGAAGCTAGATATGAGTCAACAGTGTGCCCTTGTAGCCAAGAAGGCTAATGGCATATTAGGATGCATTAAGAGGAGCATTGCCAGCAGATCCAGAGATGTCATTATTCCCCTTTATTCGGCTTTGGTGAGGCCACATCTGGAGTACTGTGTCCAGTTCTGGGCCCCCCACTACAAAAAGGATGCGGACGCATTGGAGAGGGTCCAGCGGAGGGCAACCAAAATGATTAGGGGTCTGGAGCATATGACCTACGAGGAGAGGCTGAGGGACTTGGGTCTGTTTAGTCTGCAGAAGCGAAGAGTGAGGGGGGACTTGATAGCAGCCTTCAACTTCCTGAAAGGAGGTTCCAAAGAGGATGGAGAGAGGCTGTTCTCAGTAGTGACAGATGGCAGAACAAGGAGCAATGGTCTCAAGTTGTGGTGGGAGAGGTCCAGATTGGATATTGGGAAAAACTATTTTACTAGGAGGGTAGTGAAGCATTGGAATGGGTTACCTAGGGAAGTAGTGGAGTCTCCATCCCTAGAGGTGTTTAAGTCTCGGCTTGACAAAGCCCTGGCCGGGTTGATTTAGATGGGATTGGTCCTGCCTAGAGCAGGAGGCTGGACTTGATGACCTTCTGAGGTCTCTTCCAGTTCTATGATTCTATGATAAGAGGATGGTTGGATGAAATAACATGATCTTGGTAACTAATTGACCATTCATTATAGGGAACTTTCTGGGTGTCTGGCTGGTGAGTCTTGCCCACATGCTCAGGGTTTAGCTGATCGCCATATTTGGGGTCAGGAAGGAATTTTCCTCCAGGGTAGATTGGCAGAGGCCCTGGAGGTTTTTCGCCTTCCTCTGTAGCATGGGGTACAGATCACAGCTGAAGGACTCTCTGCATGTTGGGGCCTTCAAAGTATTTGAAGGCTTCAATATCTGAGACATAGGTGAGAGGATTATTCTAAGAGGGGTGGGCGAGATTCTGTGGCCTGCACTGTGCAGGGGGTCAGACTAGATAATCATAATGGTCCCTTCTGACCTTAAAGTCTATGAGTCTATGAGGATATTTATAGAATGTATTAAATACGTTTTGTGACATTCCTCCTTCATGCAGATGCTTTCCTATTATGTATTCCTGGAAAAAAAAAAATCTTACATTTGCGTTGTCTGTGAAGTAGGTGCTGGGAAATGGACAAGATACAGCTATGTATAACAAAATATGAAGTACTTCTGATTGGACACTTTGTCTTTTTCAAACTAATTTGAAAGTCCATTAAAAAGGAAATGCAAAAGGTATGAGCAAAACTTTGAATAAAGAATGCACCAAAAGCTCTTCCTATCACAGCAAGCAAGGCCCTTATGGAAACCACAGCAGTGTATTTCCACTGCTACTGGGACCTAGCAATACTACAAATGGTACTTAATGCTATAGCAATGGCATTCTACGCTCTCCCTGCTTAAATGTAGTCCTTTCAGTAGGATTTAGTGCATTGCTTCTGAATCTCCCATGTAACTGCACACATTAACCTGAATGAAGCTTGTGCTTCTCCAAATCAAATTGAAAATTTCATCCTGGCAGTTGCAATAGTTCAAGTTCTGTGACAGGTCAGAGAAGGCACAACTGAACATGACAGTATTTTAACAGTCAGTGCCCAACATCCACATCCTGCTAACTGGTACAGTTCTCCAAACAAAACAGACTGGTATTCACACATTCTTTAAAATAAGAAAGAGACTAAATAGCAGAGTTTAGTTCACAGTGCAGCCTGTAAAGTTCTTAACTGGCAGAGCTGAGCCTTGACATTAAAACTGAATAATCAGACTTCATCTGTACTACAGCTATAAATGACTGAAGGAATCAAGTTACCACACAGTTTTCCCAAAGGCAGTAAAACCATGGTTCAAAGATGTAGTATAAGTGTTTTAATGTCATCCACAGGCAAGTTATAACACTCAACAGTCCATTACATTACAAAACCCATTACAGAGACATAGTTGCAATCAGTCTGCACAATTTTTAAATGGGCAACAGCATAAACCAGTGTAACCATTCCTCCTGATTTGGTTACAACTATAGTACAGGCAAGCCCTTTTAAAAAAAATATCAAACATTCCTGAAGTGCTTTCCAACATGGCACAAGGAGCAGGTGAGTAAAAGGAAAGACAACTCAACACAACACAACTGTCTACCCCATCTATAAAATTAAAAACAGCTCCCAAGAGCATCTTAATGATAAAGATTGGTTGGCCTGGATTAGGCCTATAAAGTTAAGTGCATCAAAAGGCAATACTATTTTTTTAAACAATTAAGCCATTAAGTTAGATATCTCAGCATCTATTAATCTCTACTCATTTTAATTTTATTCTTTGCATTCTCTTATATCACAAATGTCTAGTATTTACTAACTCCTTAGTACATCTTTCAGTAAAAGCCTTCAAGAAAAATGCAATGCTCAGTTTACAAAAATAAAGCGCTTTAAGGCCAAATGGGCCTATTATGCTTCCACTGAAGTCCACGGTAGGGATATAATAATATAGTTGATTAACCGATAAGCAAAAGTTTATCGGTTAATACTATAGAACACACACACACACACACACACACACCTCTCACCCTTGCCAGTACATTTTTTAGCAGGCTGGCCAGCAGCTCAGCTCAGTTCTGGCTCGCACCAGGTCCAGAACCTACTCTTGCTGCAGCTCTGCATTTAAAATGTATTAGGAGCCAGGCAGGCAGCCTGGCTCAGTTCCAGCTAATGCAAGGTCCAGGAGCTCAGACCCACCTTAAACAGGGGCTGATGTCACCCTGTTCTGCTGCCTCTTTATCAGAGGCATCAGCACTGGGCAACAGGCAGCCAGTCCACAAGGGGAGCTGGTTTTTAAACTGGTTCCCCTCATGGGCCAGCTCCTGCCTGACACCCTGCATTGTTGCCTCTGATACAGCAGCTGCCAGCCCCACCTCCAGGGACTATAAAATAGTTGACTAACCGATAAAAATTCATGAGGTTACTCGACTATTCAATTAACTGATATTTAACATCCCCAGTCCATGGATACTTTTAAATTGACTACAATGACAGCAGGATCAAGCACTATATCAGTCATTCTTCCACAGTTATTTTACCCTTTAATTAAGGACTAAATTAGCTGTTACCATTCAAGAGAGATATCTTGAAGTCATTGTGAATAGTTCTCTGAAAAACAGCCACTCACTGTGCTGCAGCAGTCAAAAAAGCAAACCATGTTAGGAATCATTAAAAAAGGGATAGCGAATAAAAGAGAGAATATCTTATTCCCTCTATATAAATCCATGGTATACCCATGTTTTGAATATTGTGTACAAATTTGGTCACCTCATCTAAAAAAGAAAGAGGTATCTTGAAAAAGTTGAGAAAAGGGCAACAAATTATCAGGGTATGGAACAGCTGCCACATGAGGAGAAATTAATGAGACTGGAACATTTCAGTTTAGAAAAATGAAGACTAGGGAGAGGATATGATGGAGGGCTCTAAAAATCATCACTAGTGTGGAAAAAGTAAATTAAGAAGAATTATTTACTCCTTCTCATAACATAAAAACTAGGGGTCAAGTTAATAGGCAGTAAGTGTAAAACAAAAGAAAGCATTTTTTCCATACAATGCACAGTCAACAGGTGGAACTCCATGCCAGAGGATGTTGTGAAGGCCAGGAATTTAAAGAGGGCACAAAAACAAGAGCTAAATAAAGTCACATAGGATAGATCCATCGATGACTATTAGCCAGGGTGCGCAGGAATGGTGCCCATAACCTCTGTTTGTTAGAAACTGGGAATGCGCAACAGGGGATGGATCTCGATTACCTGTTCTGCTCATTCTCTCTGAGGCACCTACCATTGGCCACTGTCGGAAAGCCAGGATACTGTGCTAGATGCAACTTTTGGTCTGAACCAGTATGGCCATTCATATGACCTCAGCAGAAGACATCCTTAGTGGTAAGCTGACTCCTATTTTTAAAAATGTTAAGTAGCTGTTATGCGTGATATTACACTTGCACTACCCAAATATCCATATGCCAATGAGAACACTGAGAACTTTTGCAAAACAAAGGACAGATTCTATGTTAGTTCATAATATGATAACTTTTCAATCCATACAGCTCTACTCACCATGCGCCCATACAATTTGATAGGCAATCCACACTTGTCACAGAAATGGACTGGGGTATCATCCTTTTCTCCCAGCAAGTTTATCTGTTAAAATGGCATTCATTAGGGATCCTTATTTCATTAGGTTATTAGCAACATGATTGAAAGTTTGTAAATATTTAATAAGGAATAGAGAACTACACAAGCTGAGCAGAACATAGAATACATTTTCTAGAAGTCAAAATGCAGTGGTACTGATTATTTTTTACTTGATTTCTGTAAAGATAAGCAGAATGCTCTGCGCTCTTATTGAGAATAGTAAGAATTAGGTTGGTCCCTATGATTTCAATTTTAATATATAGTATCATCAGAACTATTGCATTCATGACTATACCTTAAAGTCCCAAAAGATGTGTCCAGGGAATCTTCTTTGATTCCCGAACATGCAGTGGTACTGATTATTTTTTACTTGATTTCTGTAAAGATAAGCAGAATGCTCTGCGCTCTTATTGAGAATAGTAAGAATTAGGTTGGTCCCTATGATTTCAATTTTAATATATAGTATCATCAGAACTATTGCATTCATGACTATACCTTAAAGTCCCAAAAGATGTGTCCAGGGAATCTTCTTTGATTCCCGAACATGTCAGTTCCTTTGCACTCATACCACTCTTCTTTTTCTGGGGGGAATGAGAAAGGAAAGAGGAAAAAACACTTAGAAAAATTATGGTATGTATTAGAACTGATCTAAGCTGCAATTAAAAAAAAAAACCAAACACATGCTGTTCTACGTTACAATAATGAAGAAAAGCTACAGCACTTCCAATGTGAGCAACTTGACTTAAATCCATCATGTAAGGAAAAGTAACTGAAACAATGCTACACTTTGAAGAGAGGGGTTTTTTTTGTTTGTTTGTTTGTTTTTAATACTGCAGCAGCACCTAAAATCTTCTATCAGGTATTTTTACATGTTTGGAGAGCATTACCATATTAGTTCTCCAATATGGAACAAGGCCTCCAAGCACTACTGCAATATAAATAATAAGAGTTTAATGCTATATAAGGAAAGGGTTTAAAGTTATTTAAATTAGTTTACCGTCATCACCAGCCTGTGCCTTTGAAGGCATCCTGTTCATATTTCTTGTAGTACGTGGTGCAGGTTTGGTTTTGTTGGGTTGTTTGGAGATGAGTTTTATAGGGATTCGTCTGCGAACATCAAGACCACCCAACGATCCAGAACTATTAGTGCCTTGCAAATCATTGTCTACAAAAGAGAAAAATATAGTTAGTCATTTTTCTGTTGTTTTATACATTAGTTTCTGAAAGGGTTAGCTCTCACCAAAGACATTTTAAGGAAAACACTGACTTTATTAAAGCTAGTTTAAGTCTTCATTTACTGTATCAGAATTTACTTGTTTGAAAAAAATCTTAATCTACTGATCACATTATACTTTTACACTGTCAGGTCATGCCAACAATATTGGCCATAACTGTAATTAAGTTAATTTAGGAGTGAATTAGTGTCTCTCAAACTGCGTAATTTCTTTATGGTAGGGACTATCTTTTTGTGGGAGGTTTGCAGAGCATCTTGCACTGTCTACCTCAATTCATGATTAGGGCTCCAGTGCACAACCACTGTGCAACAAAGCATCTTCCCTCAGGAATGTTTTTACATGCTATGTGCAAGAAAAACAAGGAGACAAACATAGTTTGTTTATGAACTTGGACAAGATAAAGAAGCAACCAAGATGGGGCTCAATTAATAAAGAATTAAAGAATAATTAATGCAAATCAACAAGGGTTTATAAAAAATAGATCTTGACAAACTAACTTGATTTTTTATAAGATTATAAGCTTGGATAATAAAGATAATAGTTTTGATATAACATACTATAACTTCTGTAAAGCATTTCACTTGGTATCACATGACATTTTGATTAAAACTAGATCAATAAAAAATTATCATGTTACATATTAAGTGGATTAAAAATGACAGGTCTCAACATGTAACAGTGTGAAAATCACCTTTGAGAAAATGTATTTCTCTCCCATAAAGATCAGCTCGTGGTCCTATGCTATTTGACATTTTTATCAATGATCTGGAAGAAAACAATTATCACGGGTAAAAGGTTTGCAGATTACAAAACTGGGGGAATGGTAAATAATAAAGAGGGTAAGTCACTGATTCAGAGCAATCTGAACTGATTGATGGGTACAGGCAATGTGTTTTAATATGGCTAAAAGTAAATGTATACATCTAAGAACAAACAACGTAGGCCATACTTACAGAATGGGGAACTCTATCCTGGGAAGTAGCGACTGAAAAAGATTTGGGGGTTACCGTGGATAATCAGATGAATATGAGAGTCCAATGTGACACTGTGGCCTAAAGAGCTAATGTGATCCTGGGACGCATAAACAAGGGAATCTTAAGTAGGAAGCTGTTTTATCTCACTGTATGTGATGCAGGTAAAACTTCTACTGGAATATTGTATCTATTTCTGGTGCTCACAATTCAAGAAGAATATTGATGCACTGCAGAGGGCTCAGAGACGAGCCATGATAATCATTATAGGATTAGAAAGACATAGAGCTAACCTATTTAATGTAACAAAGGGAAGGTTAAAGAGTGACTTGATTACAGTCTGAATAGCTACATTAAAACTATATTTAATAATGGGCTATTCAGTCTAGGAGGAATGGTATAACATAATTCACTCTTTTAATAAACACAAACGTGATCCAATGACTAGAAGTTGACACCAGACATATCTACATAAGAACATAAGAACTGCCGTACTGGGTCAGACCAAAGGTCCATCTAGCCCAGTATCCTGTCTACCGACAGTGGCCAGCACCAGGTGCCCCAGAGAGGGTGGACCGAAGACAATGATCAAGCGATTTGTCTCCTGCTATCCCTCTCCAGCCTCTGATAATCAGAGGCCAAGGACACCATTTTATCCCCTGGCTAATAGCCTTTTATGGACCTAACCTCCATGAATTTATCCAGCTTCTCTTTAAACTCTATTATAGTCCTAGCCTTCACAGCCTCCTCTGGCAAGGAGTTCCACAGGTTGACAACACGCTGTGTGAAGAAGAACTTCCTTTTATTAGTTTTAAACCTGCTACCCATTAATTTCATCTAGACTAGAAAGAATACCTTTTTCAGGGAGGGTAATTAGCCATGGGCATAAACCATTATCATCATGGTCCATCTTCCATAAATGACAATTTCTGAATAAAAATGGAATGTTTTACTAACAGATATGATCTAAAAATTATTTTGAGGAAGCTCTATGGACTGGACTATAAAGGAGGTTAGATTTGAGAAGCACAGTGAGCCTTTTGACATTGAAATCTATAACATCTTACATCATGTATCTTTTGAACATCCATGACCAAGTACAGCAAAATAGAGAACTGCGAAGACTTTTTCCAATACATTGATAACATATTTATCTAAAATGAAAATTTAAAGGCTAATCCTCCAACACACATAACAGCCATATTGTGTCAGACCAACAGTCCATCTAGTTCAGTAACCTGTTTTCCAACAATGACCAATGCCAGGTACAGCAGAAGGAATTAACAGAATAGGTAATTATGAAGGGACGCATCCAATCACCCATTCCCAGCTTGTTACAGAGACTGGGGATGTAAAATCCTGTTTAATCAGTTAATGGTTAAACATTATGTTTAACCATTTAAATGGGATCCCACAAGGTTGAGGGCTGTTCTGCTGAGGCCAGGCTGGAGCATCCCATTTCTGTGGTGCAGTAGGCCTGGCCAGGCTGTGACATCTCTACTAGGTACATGATCCCTGCCTATACTAGCTAATAACCATTGATGGATGTATCCTTCATCTACCTATTTTTCTCACACACACACACACACACACACACACACACAAAATGGGTAAGGACAAGGTCTAGGCAATGACCTGGGACCCTGTTCATAAAAATATTATGTATTAGCAGGGCTCGACAAATAGTGTAATCTACTCGCCCGCCTGTGGCACCCCGGAAGAGCTGGCACGGAACAATCTGCGCATACATAAAGTGCAGATCTGTGCAGCTGGCGAGCAGAGCTCGCCGCCGCTCGGCGAGTCCTGTCTATTAGGGATATTAAATATCAGTTAATGGAATAGTCAAGTAACCTCATGAATTCTTATCAGTCAACTATTCTATAGTCCCTCATGGCGGGGCTAGCAGCCAATGTACTCTGACCTCACTCCCGCAAAGACCCTTTTCATGTGGGAGCTGGTCCATGAGAGGAGCCAGTTTAAAAACCAGCTCCCTTGGGGACTGGACTGGCTGCCTGTTACCCTGTGCTGCTGCGTCTGATTAAAAAAAAAAGCAGCAGTGCAGATGGCAGCAGCCCCTGTTTAGGGGATGGTCTGAGCTCCCAGACCCGCACAAGCCGGAACTGGGCTGGGCTACCTGCCTGCCTCCTAATACACTTTAAATGCAGACCCGCAGCAGGGGTAGGTCCTGAACCTGTCGCAAGCCAGGCTGTTGGCCAGCCTGCTAAAAAATTTACTGGCAAGTGTGTGGAGGAGGAGGAAAAATGTATGTAGTTTATAGCATTAACCTATAAGCTTTTGCTTATCAGTTAATAAACTACACTTTTACATCCTTATTATGTATCTATAGTACTGTAGCACCTATAATTGCTAATGATGGATCTGAATCCTTCTATGCTAGCTGCAGTACATACAGAAAAAGACAGTCCATGTCCCAAATAATTTACAGTCTAAGACTCAAGTATAAGACAAGAGAAAACAGAGAAACACAGAGAGGTAATGAGACAATAATGATAGCATGATGGGTAGTGGCCTCAACTTATTAGCATGCTAAGCACTGTGAAGTTTCTTGTAGGCCCTGCAGCAAAGAATTTTGAAGAAGAGTAACAAGTTAGCTCTGCTGAAGTTTACAGGGATCAACTATGATTATAATTTAAAATATTGTGTTTTTCAAGGAATGTACCTGTCAGGTTTGTAGATTCTGAATCACATATAAAAACAAGTAGTAGTCCTGGGGCACCTTAAAGACTAACAAAAATATATATAATATCATGAGCTTTTATAGGCAAAATCCACTTCTTCCAGGCAGGCTGCAGCAGCTCCCCATGGTGCGGAGGTCCTGGCCTTGCCAGAGCGGCCCTCCACCCGCAGGATCCCATTTAAGTGGATTTTGCCCATGAATGCTCATGATACTAGAGACTAACAAATATATATAAGATGTCACTGGACTACTTGGTTTTTTTTTTAAGTTACAGACTAACACAACTATCACTCTGAAACGTATAAAAATAGTATTGTAAATTATTCCCCCCTGTCTTGAACCTTTAACTCCAGGTCTCTTGAAGCTAGGACAGGAATAAACATGCTAGACAGCAAAGATCACCACAAAAAACAAGTTTTGCTATGAAACACTTTGAAACAAAAGTTTAATTAGTTTTATGTTTAAAATATGGACAGGGCTTGTAGCTGAAATGTAAAAATGTTTAAGGGAAGAGGTTCAGAATATTCTAAACAAGGTAAAGATTAAAACTAAGCCTTTTCAATGGGACTTTGCAATCCAATCCCCTTGTTAGTAGCTACAGTGGTCCATCACTGGGCAGGTCTACAGAGGCTGGAAGAGTTACAGTGGCTGAACTGTTCAGCCCTAGGGAAACGTGTCCTATGCTATTCTAGATTGACCCCTGCTGGCCAATTTCAGATACGACTGATAGTTATATTAAAAGATTACTGAGATCACCAAAAATACTAGTATAGTAGTGCCTAAAGACCTCAACAGATCTCCCTGTAATAGACACTGTACAAAACCCATAGCAAGTGACAGTACTCCCTTCTTTTTGGATTCACAATCTGAAAAAAAAAAAGCCAATTCAACCTTGTCACTATTACAATAGAGACAAAAAGTAAAAAGCACACAACAGTAAACAGTTCCTACTTCTATGGGAGGAGGATGCACTGGCTGAACAGTTTACACACTGCAACTATATTCTAACTATGATATCAGGTTTGGACAGAGAGGCAAATGGAAATGGTGCATCATAGAGGCAAGATTACCAATTGTAGACGTTCCCCATATTGGAAAATCATTACTCATTTTTTATAATAAAATATTTTCTTTTCATATGCACTCGTGGGCAGCCAATTTCAAAGAGCAATGCTATTTTACAGCAGAAGTCAAAAGCGGGAGTCTGCCTGTTCTGACCAGCTACAGAAAAAGTGCAGCACGTTATACAAACGGTATATTCCTAGACCTTAGCAGATACAGCGAGGTGCTCCCCATCCTCAGCCACTTGCGCCTCTGCTAACTACACGCCGAGAACCAGAGTTCGTTCAAGGCGTCCTGACCCTTTAGCCCGACCCCAGGAACCTCAGCCATCGCTACGGCAGGAAGGTGTAGCCGGGGTCTGCTGCAGCACCCCCGCCCCGCTCCACAGCTGCGCGGGCGGCGAAGGGGACCGCGCCTCCCCGGGCCAACAGTCCCAGCGGCCTTCCCCGCCCGCTCGGGGC